ACAAACAATAAACTCAATTGTCTTTAGGATCATGAAATGATGTCGATGCTGTAGGTTGGGATCAGAATAAACTTGTACTCAGCGTTCACACATATTTTCAAAACATCCTTCAAAGCTGTGGTAAGCTGTAATTATTGCTGTGCTTCAACAAGAAACGTATCTTTAACTATACAAGACTATCAGTTCATATCACATTTGTGATAAACGTAAAATTTATGAGGCATGAATGAGCTGAGTTAAAATGACAACAGTTTAATTTGTTCTCACGTCCTTTTTTTCTTTGTCTGTGAGCAGACAGGTATTCTACCAAAACATAGATCTCTGCTTCCGATAAGAAAATTTTCTTATAAGCAGCCATTTATATACAGAATTTGACGCCATTTATAAAGCGAATAAATCGAGAACATGGGAATTTGAGTTTCTTACATTCTGTATAATAATACACTGTGTACGAAAATATATCGCATGAAAATACTATCCCCAATCTGCCTATAAGTAGAATGAAATTGTTCTTTATTCAGATGCCAAATGAATTGTATGCAGTGAGTTTAATTTATGTGAACTAATCCTCAATGAGAATAATCTACTGCAACCATTGATAAAGGGAATACAACAGCAACAAAACCACCTGTTGCTTTTCCATGTGGATGCGTTCGTTTGAAGCAAACATTTATAGCTCTGTATAGACCTTGCAATAATCTGTTTGGAACTTATAATAATTATTCATTATGATGTTGTCAGAATGACTACAAAATTACAAATGCATAAAACAAAGAATGTTACCCATAATCATTTGGATGAGTTTATGAGCATCTCTTATCACAGTATAAAAGTTAAGGTCTGTATTTGTGGCAATAGCTTTCTTAACAATAAAATATAGCAGTTTTCCCTATGTGTTAATAAATAGAAAGAATTTACTTATGAACATTGGTTGATGTTGAGTATAATCTCCATACCGAACTTCCCAATGAAAGTAAAGGTTTGTATTCGTGGTATTATGTCTCTTAACCTGGAAATGTAGCAGCCATCCCTTTGGGGGTTTCTTGAAAACCGTATCGGACTGGGTGTTCTTTTAGAGAAAACATGCCTATTTCACCAGTTGTTTAAGGAATCCTGTATCTGACACCCGATTCATAGTCAAACCAGTAAATCACCCATCTATCGTAAACAATAGCCCGAATTACTGGCACAAGTTTCAAAATGTATCAGGAAATAAACCCTAATACCGCCAATACAGACAGATTAAATTGCCGCCGATATCCCCCTTAAGTCCTGCCATTTTAAACATTGGCACGTTCATACGCTCGTGCAATCTCAACCACTTGATATATGATGGTTATGATTGATGTGTGACATTTAACAGGTGATATTATATTGACTGTTGGCCATGTTATTCAACATTTGCCAAAGTTGGATTGCTTTACTTAAACAACAAGATCTGCTCAATCGGCAAGGGGATGTAACTCTAGAAGACTATTTAATCTTCCACAGGTGGCGAAAGTGTGAAATATCACGCTAATTAATATTTCTCTGTTCGGAAACAGTGAAAGAGAATTTATTTGTTAAATTCATCAAACGAATCTATCATTTAATGGAATTTAGACATCGGGCGTTACATTGCGCATACCAACATTTTAAACTTAAAACATAGTTTCTAGGCTTAGCGAGATTCCTGTGAATGTGGCTAGGCCCTACACGATTGAATGATTAAATTTGGAAAACCTTTTGTTTGGTTTCTACTTAGTAGTAATTTGGTCTGAGAACAAGTAACATTTATATGTCAAAAATTTTGGCGTGGTACAATGTATACACCATCAAATTGTTTGCACACAATTCTGTCTTGGCGACGTTGATGAATGTTCCAATTAAAAAAGTACAATAAAAAGAAAAATGGTATTGATGTTCTAGAAAGTAAGCACACCTCGTCATATGCACTGTACTGCAGCTAAATGGGATTTTTGGTACTTGTAGGTTTAATCCTGCAAATCATGATGCCGAGGTCTAATCCAGCGAATACTGCATGATGCCGAAGTGTTGCTATTGTTTTTGTTACTGGTTCTTTGGGAACTTTGATATTCCTTCCAGCAAAGAAGCATTGTATCAGCTTTTCTCACAAATAACGTTCGGCGGAATGATCAATGTATTTAGCGAAAAGAACCGATTGCCCTCCGACACGTTATTGTGTTATTAACGTGGATGTGTTAGGGTCAGGATGTCATTATATACTACATAAGTTAAAACCCCGCCATCTTACCATACATTCTTCTTTAAAAGTCAAAGTTGAGACCAATTAAAGACGGTTTGTGTAACTAGCTTTTTAACTGGAAGTAGCTAAATGTTGCGTCGGATGCCTAGAAGGGGTGTGGAGCATGGTCCGATGTACTGGAGAAGTACCCAAGCGTTGCTGGTCGCACGAAAGAATATTAGGTGGTTATTTGCTGGCTAACATTACCCTTCCGAGATGATTTTGGTATAAAACATTGATTTACCGATTTTATGGACTAGTAAAGAAATTGGTTAAATTTCTTATCCTGGTTTGAAAAATGGGAGCAGAGGTCCTCGAATTGAGTTTTGCAGTTATTGAACCTCGTTCACAAATATTTGTTAATGGCAGAAGTTAGACATCAGGAAAGCATAAATGTTTGTGAATACTGGTTGTTCCAATTGGTTCTCCAGTAACAAAGCGAATCATGGGATCCGCCCAAACTGTAAACGTCCTTAATGGAGATGAACAAGCTGCCGTAAAGGTATTAAGCGGTATTAGTCTCTACTTGAAGTACTTATACTGCTAGAATAACAGCTTGTCGGCGTTTATTTAGTCAGTTCGTAATAGTTTTAAGTGTTTGTTTGCAAGAATAATAACATTAACATCCCCTTTACTTTGTTGTACAAATTTCCACATAATTGTCAGAGGAGCAAGCAATCGAAGGGAAGAAAATAAATGTTTACAATTCATGAACTCTTCTTTTAATAAAGATAGTCGAGTGAACCTTGTTTATTCACGCCTTCTAACGTAAAGAGTGTTGCTAATATAAGAGGACACTATTAAATCTTAGTGTGATTCAGTTTCCTGAATTGGATACACCTTGTAAGGTGGTGATTTTTAATGTGTAAAAATTGACTCGCGATCAGATTTACTCCCTCTTAAATAACTCGTTGTGTTTACTCGGGTTATCTGAGGCCAATGGCAGATCGAGCAAAATTAATAACAAAGCCGACAATAGGATTAGCAAAGGGTTTGTTTCATCAAGAGATTTATATGCGGTTATTGTTTGAGTTATTTCAATATAATTGGATCTTATTGTAACTTATTTATGAAGCATGTGTATATACATTCTGTAATACGATTTCGGGGTTTTACCTGACCTGAAATAATATATGTCTAAGCAACCTTAAACGTTCTGTGTTATATACGTCCTTTCACTTCATGAGGGTGGGGGTGGGAGTGGAGGGTTGGGGGTGATGGGTTTTTTTCATACATTAGGATAGCACCCGGTAAATGAGTTTGAAAATTTAAATTGTTAATCAAAACTCTGCATTCCATGTCCTTTGTCCGTAGTCAAAAATGACAAATCACCCTAGTTAGCAGATTTTATTTCATTCTGTACATTATTGTGACTACATCATTTCATCCGTCATGGTTAATATTCTAAGACCGCAAGGATACAATATGATGATTGCGTGCAGTGATCCCATGCCATTGTAACTGAAGCTGGTTTCTAACTGCATCACAAAAGATTGTGACAGTTATCTTCCCTTACCTGTCAACCAGCTAGATCTAATCTAATTAGAGACTGGACACACCTGACAATCACGACCACAGAACAATGGTACAAGTCCTCGTCCCTCGTGTCAAAGACTTATTCACCTATTTATGGACAATAATTCAATTTTCAATAGTTGTGATCTTGGGTTGTGACTGACATAATGAGATTTTGTTTAGATTAATTAAATATCTTTCCCACTATTGTTTGGTGTGCGACGCTTATTCGGATCTCTGTGTCCACTTTTGACTGGATATTGGCGTGACTTCATGAAAAGTTAATGTTAGACCCTTTCCTGAAACCTCTAGATGAACTTGCAAAGGCTTTGGCACGTCTTGTTTTCTTTTAAAATACACAGTCTTTGATATTTAATATGACCAATACTCGTATAAATAAAGGGATTTTAAGATTAAACTTAGTTTTAAATCGGGTCATGAAATTTAGAATTCTAAACCAGGAAAATGCACCTCCCTCTCACACAGTTTGTAAGAGCCATCCGATAAACAGCTTATGCAAAGAACATTAATGTCAGACAGTATTTTTATAAAACATATTGCAGGATATTATGCTAACATAAGTAGGGAATTGTAAGCAGCCGTGACAATTTTATATCTAAATAATGAATGACAAATGACATATTTATTGCGGTTAATGCTTGTTCCTAACTGTGATGAGATGCATTTATGGTCAAAGGTCAACTTTACAAATGGTAACGTAGTTAGAAGTGCAAACACAACATCATCTTGGCAGTAAACATTAGATTTAATTATACAATCGCATTAGATGTTGCGGGATAATTTATACAGACAGGGTCATAGGTTATCAAAATTTCGAATAATTGATGTCTTCTGATGTATGGTATTGGACTACAACTTGGCATGTAGTGTAAATACCTGGACTTTTCCAGGATTTAACAATCCAGATACAAATGTATTTTGTTGATATACATGTAATTATACCCCCCCCCCTATTATTCCCCCAAACTCTCGTTCAAAGTGGCGTCATTTGAAACCCCAGAGTTACCTAACTATCGAATATCTAAGTCCACTGAACACTTTGAAAACCACTTAAAATATCCAGATCTCAGATATAGATTGGCAGATTTGTTTCGACTTATGTTTGAACATCCAAGACGTAACCTTGTAGTCAAATCATTGCAAATCGAGTTTTAAAAGCATGACTTTAATTAATTGTTTTTGGGGTTTTTTTTTAATTTTATCATATTCTATCTTTCAGCGAGTCGGGAAGCGGGTTTTACACATGCTATATCAGCAGCCGGAGTAGTATATGCCATAAGCCGTTCCTGTAGGGAGGGTGAACTTTCTAAATGTGGATGTAGTAGAGCACGGCGTCCTAAAGATCTTCATCGAGATTGGATTTGGGGTGGCTGTGGAGATAATATAGAATACGGTTATAAATTCGCTAAAGCATTCGTCGACATGAGGGAAAAAGAGAAAAATCACCCAAGACATTCGAGGGAACTATCTCGGATGTTGATGAATGTTCATAATAACGAAGCTGGAAGACGGGTAAGTCGTATAACCTTATTTTGATACACAGATGGGGTTTAACGTCCACTCGACACAAACTAGGTCATTTCGGGACTAACATATGGTTTAATTTTATTTCAATAATTCGCTTGCGCGTAGGGGTCTTTAGCAGTGGGAGTAAACCGGAAGACCCGGAGAAAACCCACGAGTTTAGACTTGCGACCCTGCTCCTTGTCACGTACAACCGGGGATTCGAAACCACGCCAGTTGACTCAATGACAGGCCGTATGAAACAGCACGCACGTGCTAACCATTCGGCCATCCAACCCCCCTATTTTGATACAGACTGATATCATCCAATTAGATATTTTGAACACATACAGTAAAAACAAACGCCGATTTGAGATTTCTTTATTGCTCAACCCCATATCTGTAGGGATGATGGAATACTTGAAAGTACCAGGGAAAATAGTTAAGTACTCCAGGGGTAGACTGAGAAGGGGGCCTTTGAGTATAGTAGGCTGGGTGGTCCCTGAAGAAGTTAATGGGACCCTTCCTGTTATTGAATTTACGTCTATGCATGGTTTTTTTAAGCACCACTTACAGTCAGTTTGTCAAATATTTTCTCGCGCCTGGGGGAGAGAACTCATAGAGTAGGGGCCTCTAGAGTACTCTCGAAAAATATCACTTGTGTTGATAATCTTTCACGTTGGAAGTGGTCTCGCATGTTTTGGATCTTATTGTAACGCAACTCAGTATTTCTAAGCCTGTGGCATCAATTCTTCTATTTTCTTGAGAGTGTCCTAGATATACAGGATTTATAAATTTTGTAGGCAATTACAGACAGCAAGTGTAAATCTTCAAGTGCGTGCTAACTGATTTCAGTAATTACATTCACGTTGAAATTTTGATAGAGTCAACAATTGGTAGAGCAGATAATTATTGGGAGATAGCCATTTTTGTCTTCTGTATTATCTAAGATGGCGATACTGCGGTTAGAAATACTTAAGGGAAGTCTTCTGCCAAATGCTGAACTTTTTTACATCATTATGTTTCAATCTAAGGAAAAAATGACGCAAACAATCAATTCTGTATCACCGAAAATGACAAATGGAGAAAATATTATCTGATAAAAATACCCATACATTTTGATAAAAACGCGCGAAATCCAATAGCAGATATGGGTGATATCAGACATATTTGGTTTCTTATTTAACTTGTTTTACCCAAACTCTTCTCACTGGGGAACACATTAAAATGTTTAACTTGTAGCAAATATAAGGACAAAGTATTTTTAAAAAGTACTCCAGACAATGTACTGTTCTTAGAATATCTCTAAATCGAAGACTCCGACAGTGCTTTACTATCGTGCATTCTAAAATTAAAATGGATGATTTCTGTAGAAGTTCATCCGGTATAAAGGATTAGACCAACATCTGGTTGTAAAGTTCAGTTGAAATGAAATACAATTTGTTACTTTTGTTAGAAAGGATGCAACATATTGCAGTGGTTCTATTTAATAATGAGAATTGAACACGTATGCAAAAATAAAATTTCTGCAGTAGACGGATGGTATATAAAAAAAATAAAATCCTCTAACTAAACCTAGCCACACTAGTCTTTCAACAGTCTAGCATCTTGTGAAGAATAGTTTTTTTCTTACTCCTGCATACTGGCACTGGCCATATAGGTTCTATTAGAATATTCTTAAGAGAGACACATATACGTATGAATACATATTTAGGATGGCCTGGGTGTATAAGGCATACACATGTACAGAGCGATATTATTTCATTAGATTATTCGTCGGAACCAACTACAGGCAATGAAGAGATACATGGATGATGGCTGAAGTATTAGTAATGTGTACACACTTGAAAGCCATTGTTTTAAAATAAATGTTTAGGGATTTTAAAAGACCTAGATACAGCTCCGCATTGTTAAATAAGTAAATGAGAACGTCAGTGGATCTTTATGAGAATGTTTGTCGTCGTCTTAAACTTATACATATACTTTTAAGAGAGTTTAGCAGTTAAGTTGCAATAAAATAAATGAGGCATGAGTTGTTGGAATGTTCTTGAGATGCAGATATAAATCAAAGTAAACCATCTGTAGCTTACAAAATTTTCGTGTACTATCGGTGCCAACAAAAACTCCCATTAAATTGTTATGTTTGTCTTGTAATTAATGTTAAAAAGTGGTATTTTAATTCAACGAAAAAGGTGGTAGAATTGTGATTATTCTCTGGTTGCATTCAATGAAACTGATAAAAACAAAGTTGTAACACTTGTGACATTTGTATCACAAAAAGACAAGTATGAGTGCAATATATTACAGAATGGTAAATGCCATTTATATCAATATATTTTGGAATAATTAAATGTTTGTAACTGAAAGTTTCTACATATAACAATATATGTTCCCCACAAAAATGTGATATTTACCATACAACCACAGAACCGAGAATTAACGGGAATAAGCATAGTAAGCAGTGGGTATGGAATGTGACAACCTTTTCTAAACATTGACACTTTATATTTTGGTTGGTGTAATTTTATTTTTTGTCCATTTGGTAAAACACGACCGACAAAGCTTTCTCTTTGTACATAAGAGTAACCATTAGATAAAGAAACTATCTTTGAAGTTTATATATAAAAAAACCCGATTTAATTAGTATTTGATATGGCATTTAAACACCTTTCGTGCATCATTAATCCCATGTGCATTTTGGGATATAAACAGTTTTATGCAATGATGATGAAGGTGATAATAATATCAACACTTTCTGATTAAAAGGATGCTGACATTTTCTTTACTGATTTTATACTTGGTAGATATTAATATATGAATAAGAGCTTAATGTCTGTTTTCCTTTTAGCATATATATAGATAAAATGGATGTGCTTTATATAAGTAGTTGAGATTGTAATTGAGGAACTATGCTTAAGATGTAACTATCTGTGTAAAACATATAAGATGTATGTTATTTTTAATACTTTCTTATATTTTACAAGAAACAGGTATTTCAGCCGTCACTTTAACTTGATAGATACAAAGTGTGGGTTTCTTTCAAACACAAAAAGAAAAAGCTACAAACAAATTATACACAGAGAAGTTTTTTTTTTTTAAATCCAACAGCATTACTTAGCCATGTATGTTTCATTAATCAAGCATGGGGCGGTTTTCTGCAGGGGGGGGGGGGCGAACTATACCTTATCGTTTCTTCTGCTTGTGTTCATGAATACAGCAACGGTTTTCTTCACCTGTCCTGTTAGTGTTCACCACTTGTTTCATATGCTGACCAACCCCCACCTGTCTATCACACCCCTCCCTTAATATATATACTACATACCCACATTTCTTACATATATGCCCCACATTTAAACATGTAGTAATCCGTGGTTCCTTTGTAATGGATTATGTATGCATGTCTTATGTATATGGTACAATAATTATTGGACTACTGTGTACTGATGCTATATTATTGTAGATAGATTGGGAAGCACGAGTCCTACAGGGCAATCAAATCAAAACCACGAAATACAAAACGCCAATTGCATACAAATAATAGGGGACTCGTTATCATTTACACGAATTACGTGTGCCAACACATGTCTTAAAAATGAGAACATTATTTAAAGTTTCAATTATAGGTGACAAGACATCTGCTGAAAGCGGCTAATCCGCTAATGAAAGAAAATTGGGGGACCAAAATGTGAGTGGCTTGTAATCATTATGACAAAAAGATTCAGACTGACAATAAGAATATTGTTCCATCACTATACTTACGCTGTTACTTCTACTTGGTTGATTAGGGCTACAATAAAGACTCAAATTCAATAACAATGTCACAGTTTCGTACTTTTAGGATATCGACAAATTGTTGTAGCCGTATCTAGTTTCAGGGCAATATCTAGTTGCATTATTTTTTTCTCTAAAACAGATATTCAATCTATGTTCTGCTCCATAATCATTGTCGTATCTATCTGGATCGCAACATTGGGGTAGTTTTGTGCGTTTAGATACACACATCAATATAAACGAATTACTAAAACAGGATAAAACAAACGGCTAATTATTAAAATATCAAAATTGTAAATCATACAATATTCTTCGTATATAATGTGTTTAGGAAAGGTTTCATAAATAATATTAATTATTATCGGACTGGTAGGCTTATGGAAGAGCTGTATTAGATAAGTTATTTAAGTCCATGCAATTTAATACACTGGTAGTAGATATTGGAATGTGTATTAAACAGGTATAGTCATTTATATAATAATATATGTTTTAGTATATTGACTATGATACGACAGATAATATGTGAATGAAAAAGTCATAAAATTGTAGAATGACATAAATTACTTGAGATTAAATGCCCCCCCCCACCCTCCCTTAACACTAACCAAACGTAAAATTTGTTTCAAACAACTATTGTCAAGTGCACTTATTTACCTCTGATATTGAAGTGCGACACTTCAGAAGTCAAAATATTACCGTATTATTGTTAATATGATCGTGTTATTCTTTCATAACATGAACATTAAGCTATCTTGGGGTCGGATTTTTTTCTCTCTTAACATACCGTAATACAAGGCATTGAATTAATAGAAAAGAGAAAGGCCTATCAAGTTCGAGTCGGGTAAAATGTGTTTATAACGAAAGCACTTTAACTGTATTATCAATTTGAATAGTTTTGACTGATGTTTGGCTGATGAATTAAACTGACAATATATGTACGGTGGTAAATTTAGCTCATCTGGCGACACTGATCTTAAACTATTTATTGTATTTGAAATCATTACTTTCGCTCACAGCCAATCTAGGCTAGGTCGCAATTCAGTTTTTTCCCTCGGAAACTGGTGTGTCGCACCGTTCTGAATCTAAGCTTGTTTCCTATTCAGATTTATTAGTAGACATCTCAAATTTGAGACTATTCGACACCTTTGAAAGATGGAAGCAAATCGAATTCGGAATGGATTGACTGGAAGGAATTTGAATTAGTATTGCTGTAAAGGTTGTTCATAATGATATTATTA